CTTCTACCATCTATTCATGGAATGCGAAATCTTAATACTATATATATCTTTTGTCACAACACGGAATATCATAAAGAATGGGCTAAGCATTGGACAAAAATTAAAGGCATCCACAAAACAATAAATTCCATATGCGAAGCATTGCAAATAGCTGTCAAGCAATGCAATCAAAATAATACAGTGGTCAGTATAATTAGTGCTGATGCAGATGGTTCTAGTGAAAATCTTAATCAACTAGAACCATCATTCATGTATACCCAGATATTCAAGGAAATACTCCTTGATATGGAACATGATCAACAAGCTATCAAGGATTTGGTCGCCTTCTGCCAGGAACAATACCATGGCAATACTAACGAACTGAAGTTAATCGATGAATTTCAACGTAATTATCATCCAACATTGGCCTTATGGTGGTATACACGCCAATGCTTCACGTTCAACATGCTCAATCGAGCATTAAGAACATTGGATGGCAACATTATCATCCGAATGGGATTTTTCCTGTGTGATGTTCATCGACAAATTGAAAAATTACACAGCCAACAGGTCAGTCAATATCATGGGAAGTCGTTTCTAGTTTATAGGGGCCAAGGATTATCGACAAGTGACTTCGAAAAACTTGCAAAAAACAAAGGTGCTCTCGTATCATTTAATAATTTTTTATCCACCAGCGCAGATCGTGATGTCTCCTTCGCTTTTGCCGAAAGCAACTCAGAAGCAACCGATATGGTCGGCATCCTTTTTCAAATGACAATAGATCCTACTGTCTCATCGAGTCCTTTCGCCTCCATTCAGGAGGTGAGTTATTTCAAGGACGAAGAGGAAATTCTCTTCTCCATGCACACCGTTTTTCGAATTGATGAAGTTCGAAAAATTGATAAGAAAAGTCCACTTTACGAAGTGGACCTTAAACTTACGTCGGATGATGACCAACAACTTCGTCGATTAACTGACCGTATACGAGAAGAAGTCGGCGGCACTAGATGGTATCGACTGGGTCAATTGCTGCTCAAAATAAGTCAATTTGACAAGGCTGAAGAGTTATATACAGCACTACTAGAACAGACATCCAACGACAGTGATAAAGCATATATCTATAACGGACTTGCATGGGTGAAACGGGACCGAGGAGAATACACAGAGGCAGCGTCATTTCTCGAGAAATCACTCGAAATTTATCGAAGAATTCTTCCAGAAGATCATCCTTCATTGGCTACTACATATAGCAACATCGGTTTGGTGTATAACAACATGGGTGACTACTCGAAAGCACTTGAATTTTACGAAAAATCACTTAAAATAAGAGAAAAAGCTCTGCCTTCGAATCATCCCGATTTTGCTACTTCCTACAACAACATCGGTCATGTGTATCACAACATGGGTGACTACTCGAAAGCACTTGAATTTTACGAAAAAGCA